AGCTGCAATTATATGTTAAAACCTACAGACTGTTTAAATCAGCAGAGCTGCAATTGAATTTAGTATTTTCTACCATGAAGTATGAATTATCTCTGTTTTTCTGTGTTCTGTTATATTGAATTTATATATGCAGGTCAGAGTTAAACTCTCTGTGGGTCGGCACTTGTGAGAGTTGGGCAGTGAGAGCACAGGTTTCTCCTGGTGCTAGAATTCAGTGGCAAAGACAATAAACATGAGTAAATCTTGGGGTGTAAGATTGGAGAATATTAAGCCTCTCATTTTGTCTCATGTGACCATGATGTCTTTTATTTGTGGGTGAAAGGATCGGTTGAGTTTTTCCTCCTGTGTGTCTGAGGAATAGACTATATTTAAAGGATAGACATAGCCTTGGGCGCTGTTGAAAAATAAATAAATAACTCAATGCAGTCCATGAACAAGTGCCAGCAGGGGATGACTCCTATGATTGCAAAATCAGGTGTGATCGTATAGAGGTCTATGAGGCCATTTATTCTACTTTTTAGTTGATTTAATGCCTTATTTAACATCTTACTAAGAAGCTCATAGTCTGAGTTGATACGTTCAAGTATTCTTCGATACAGCATGATGTTCATCCTGGAAATTATGTTCATATTTACCGTATGAACAGGGTTGGTTTTCTTTGGTAGGGTGACCATATTTTGATTTCCAAAAAAGAGGACACTTGCCCCAGTCATGAAGAACTTTAATAATACTGTTTGCTTAAAGAAAATTTTAACATATTTAAACGCTGCCTTCTCTGTGCGGTTAACGAATGGTGAAATACAAAATGTCATAAAGGCTTTTACAAGTTAACAAGAGCAAAAAATAACTTATAACCCTCTGGAATTACATAATGATACAGAAATGATGCCTCATCTGTATTAAAAAAATTACCAGTACTGGGATGGTACGAGGGAAATTTCTTTTGTAGTTCATCTGAAAAGATGTACTTGCGCTTTGGCATCTTTTAAACATCATCAGGCGCGTTGCTTCATGCTGTTTGTCCCATCTGTGAGCTCAGAACAACCACTCACAAAGCAGCAACTACGGGATAACGCCTTCGACGCTTATTCCCTTCCAATGCTGACGGTGGATCAAGGAGACCAGCGGACAGGCTGCAGGCCCAGATGTACTGTCTAAATCAGCTGTCTCTCAACCTTTACCCACCACTGTTGCTTGTCATGTGTTTCTTTGGTGTATTAAGAGCTTTTTCATGTGCTATGTGCAGAGGTGTTTTTTTTCTGTTCTCAAACTGATCTCCCTGTTGGAGCTCAGTCTGGGGGGAGTTATTTTTTTTCTCCTTATCTTTCCTCATGTGGTGCATTTTCCATTGTTATACCTCTCTGACCTGTCTTCCCCATGTGATGTTTTGTGTAATGTATGTATGGTCGGAGGGTAAGTTAGCGCCGCCATTGCGTGCAATAGGTCGGCAGCCTTATGAAATTTCTCTTTGTGGGACTAATAAAGGTATATCAAATCAAATCAAATCAAATAACGTCACACATATAGGTCCTCTTTAGGCCTATAGGAAAACCCAGACATTTCCATCAATCTTTAAAATCCCCCTGGACACACGGACAGAATGTTTTTAGACATACTTTGAAACACATTTAGTTGTCGACCTTCTCCTCCGGAGAAAAGAGGACGGCTAGTCACCCTATCTTTGGGTCATACTCAGCATTTCTCTTCCTCCAAACACAGTGGTTCAAGTTGATGCCAAAGAGCATTTTTTTGTTTCATCTGACACTGAGCACTGTCTCTGAGGCCTTCTCTGAATCATTTAGATGTTCACTGGGAAACCTAAAAGAGATCTGTACGTGTGCCATCTTGAGCAGGGGGACTTTGTGGATGTTGCACGATTACTGCCCACTACAGCATACTGTGCTACCAGTGCTGTTGTTAGTGACTTTGGTAGTTTTGAACAAATCCACAACCTTTCTCATGATCATCATTACCCCATTGGGCAAAATGCTGTATAGAGCTCCAGACTGAAGGTCAAGGTCAATTTATGTTTCTTCCACCAACAGTTAGCAGCTTCTCACCAAGCTTCTTGCTGCTAATCTTTTAGCCCATTCCACCATTGTGCAAGTCTACACTCTTGTCCCTGACGTCCTTTGACAGCTCTTAAGTGGTGAATATTAAAATGGAAATTGATTACATGGAGAGGTGTGTAGTTTAGTCAATATCTATAACTGATTGGATAATAATTGATTGATTGGAATCTCTGTGCCACATGGGCACACAGCCAATCTGCCAGAGCCAGAATTCTGGCTGGGTTGCAGTGAACCAAAAGCTTATTTCATTCAATGAGATGCAAATCAATTTATAACTTTTGTCGTGTGTTTTTTCTCTATTTTTGGTTGATATTATGTCTCTCTCCATTAAAATAAAACTACCATAAATAGAGAGTTCATTTCTTGAGCAAACTTTAAAAAGTCAGCAGGGGATCAAATAATTACTTTGGCCAACTTTGCAGCTTTTAGTTTATGCAGTCTGTCTTCCATCCAGATCTTCAGAGTGTAGTGGAAGTTGTATGTCTGAGGGTGTGGAAGATTCGCTGTCTCTATATTTTATCTATGCTGTCCATGCTGTATCTCCACAAAAGCTCAGGTGAACTATCATATTGTTTTTAATAGCTTTTAACCACGGGTTAGGGCTCCATTACATTTCCATGACAACCAGGTGCTTTTTCTGTACCGTGATTGGTACTGTGGGAAAAAGAGAGGTTCAGTTGTACCTACACCACACCACTCCAATCTCATCCCATCAGAAACTAGTTTGAGGGATGTCACTCGGCCTCCATGCATGCCCCAACTGCACACAAAGGAGAAGCCACATTGACATATTTTGGAGTAATTTGAACACCCCACTCTGCCATGTTTTCAGCCACTTACAGCTCATTACATTGGTTTTCTGGTACATGTATACTTGAGTCCTAATGGCTCTCACCAACCCCACATATTATGACAGGTAGCCACTCCTATCTCAAAAGCTTGCACAAGTCCACCCACCTTTATGCCGCCTGTTTAGCGTAAAATAGAGGCTTGTTGAAATAAACAAGTAAATGATAAAGAAAGTTAAAAACAAGGCAGAGCAGAACTAATTTTCTTTTTCTTCTTTAACACTTTGTGACCCCTGGTGGTAGAAAATCTGTTCTTCCTTAAAGAAAATAAATATCAAGAACAAAGAAAAACAAATAAGTCATAAAATAAGTAATAAGTTTGGTCCTATTAGGGTCTTTGAACATTTGAAGTTTGCTGAAAATAGGACAAGTAAAGTCAATTATTAGGTAGGCTAATAGCACAAATTTGCTTGAAAGACATTTAATTCACTGTCTTCTCCCTGCAGACCTTGATTTGGAAGTGAAATCGCTCCTCCTCAGAGAAAGAAAGGAAACAGACCCGAGGAAAGGCAACTGACGAGTAATTCCTATTAGACAAACACGCAATGTTACAGAGCAAAAGAGCAAAATTGCAGATTATCCCCTGATGTTTGACAAAGTAATTATTCTCTTTAACAGAGGGTCTCTGGGGTATTATATACTGTTTCTATATTTAGATGCATTAAGCTTTTCTTTTTATATTAACCTATAAAAATCAAATGACAGAGAGAGCACAGGTGGAACTAATAACATTACCAAGTGCTACTGCAATAAATCACTCCAGCATGATGCAAAGTAACTACACAAATAAAATCAACCTTTTTTTTTTTTTTATAACTGCACCTGTGCGCTACCTATTACAACATGTCAAAATATCTGCTCTGAGACAAAGGTGGACATATATTTTCACTACAGGTGTGAGAACAAAAATTCTGTTGTGGACATTGTTAAGCGAATAGTTCGGCACGGTTTTCAAAAACTCTTTCAGAAAAGATGTGAATACTGGATGAATGAGTAGAGAGAGCCAGCAGCTTTTAAGCTTGTTTAACACAAAAACAGAAGTGACATGTTTAAAGCTCAGTAATTAACACTTTGTCGTCTCCTTTGTTTAATCTGCACAAAAACGGCAGTGTAAAAAAACACAAGTTGCTGCTCCTGCCTCGTTTCAATCTCATTGTGGTTTAGGAGGTTTGGTGCAATGTGTTACCCCGAACCAGAGGCTCTCTGCCTCCTCACTGTAGCTTCATTGTTAATGGATAGAGATCTATCTATCTATCTATCTATCTATCTATCTATCTATCACTTTTGGCTTTTTGTATTTGTACACTTTTACACATTTTTTCCTTATTTATTTGTCTAATATGTCTCTAATTCACTCTTTCTTGCAGACCCCTGTGCTTCTGTAACATGTGAATTTCTCCCATTGGAATTAATAACGTCTGTTTTTGTGACTTTATCTATCATTCTCAAATTAAAGTTTTCCTATGCATGTATAAATTAAAAAAGTCTGACCCCGTGTACCAAAATAAAAGAAACTTCCTGATACTTGTTTAACGCTACTTGTCATTTTAACTGTTTATCCAGGTTTTGTGTTTGTTTTCTGATGAATGTTTTCTGTCATTTCTAAACACTACACAAACAGGCACTGTGGGAGAATTAGCTTAATTTAAACTAATGTCTGTAGGCTGCACGTGTGCCAGGAGGACTGTACCAAATGAAGACGCAGGGGGGCGCAGTTCCCCGCCAGGTGCGCCTTCTTCCTTGCCTCCCTCCCCGCACCACCTTCCCATCCCATCGCTGCACGTTCTGGCTGCTTTATCGACCTTCTCCCCGCCGTGCAGCCCACTCCTCCTTCCTTCGCGGGGAGAGCGGGACTCTGACGCGCACAATAAATCATCCTCGCGAGGTTCCTTTTTCAAGCCCCATTTCATACTTACTCGCACTGGAGCGCAGACACGGGCGAGAGTCAAGCCTCGTAACTGTGGATGTAGCAAATGTGATTCAGCACAGCAAACAACGTGGGTGTTGTGCGTGCGAGCGCGCGCGCGCGCGTGTGTGCTTTTTCTTTTTTTCTTTTCTTTTCTTTTTTTTTGGTGGGGAGTGGAGGAGAAGGAGGAGGAGGTGGGGAGAGAGCAGCGATATGAAACGCGTGTGTTTATGTCTCCTTCGTTACCCGTTATCTGTGACTGACCACCGGCTCAGTTGCACCTGTACGAACGACCTTGCAATTGCGACCGAAATTCTTTTAACGAGGTTTCCATGGAGGAGCAGTTTGTCGTTTTATCCGTGAGGGCTGAATTTGGTTCCTATTGGTGTCAGGATATTTCGGGATAACAGGTAAGACAGTGTGTAATTTATATAAATAGCGACGGGCATGCTGTTGCCACCACGTCGGCCTGTTTTTATGCTGTTCCCGACTGCACCGTCCGCTCCTAATGCCTTTTATTTGAGAATAATTGTTTGTTTTAGACTCGAGCAACGTGACGTGACCTCCCAACTGCGGCCAATTCCTGCACACTGAGCAGGCTGATTTATTATTTTTTTAAAGAGGCAATCTAGAAAGAGGAGACTTCTTTTTCTTTTCTTTTTTTTTATTAAGGAGTTGGCTCCAACATGCCTGCCTTTCTTTGTCAAAGTGATGTAAGGGGTGCAGTTAGTCACAGCCTGACATTTCAGCCCCCTAACCGCTCCTGTGGTACTTACCTGGTGTGGTGCCACACTGCAGCTCACCCCGTGAAATAGAGCTAACCTACAGGCCAAAGACCAGTACATTTTTTAAGGGCTGAATGGGGCTTGGGTGGACTTGCATGCACTAAAACATAGAAGAAAGAAAAGTAAGAAACGTGTAATTACGGTTCTTTTGGCTGTATTTTAAGTAAAAAAAACAAAAAACAGAAAAACTTCAGAAGTATCAGCAATTATGAGCTTTATCCTTTATGTGATACACTGAGTGCAAAGGTGTACACACGCACACACACACTCAGTTTCTACCTTGCAGCGTTCACAAGGTAATTGCGTACTTTAATGCCACAATGTCAGCTGAACAATCTGTGATGAATGCAGCTCAGGCCTTCAAACTAAGTACACTCCTACTCTTTCCAGCTGGGCTGTTTGTTCAGTCAGCATGTTACTTGGATGCAGGCAGAGTGTGATGTAGGTGGTAGATATGTGTTTATACATTTATTCTTTTTTTTAAGTGTCAGTTAAGCCAGTGGTGTATTGGTTCCAGAAAGTACCCTTCTTGATTGAGACCGATCCCTCCCCCGAAGCTTTCTCACCACCTTCTGTCACCATCCTGTTAGCACCATTATTGCAAGCAGTGTGAATGTGTGCTTGTGTGTGTGTGTGTGTGTGTGTGTCTGTGTGTCTGTGTGAGTGGGTGGGTGGGTCAGCTTGCATCTGTGTGTGGACAGCTCTATACAGCATGTGTTACACTGGTGTAATTCTTTAATCCTCCAATTTGCATTTTTTAACGATTTATTGGATGTGTAGGGGGAAAAAAGGAACACACGTAACTCAGAGCCATCCCTGTAAAACCCCGCTGCAAATGCAAACCATGCAACATGCGAAGTTGACTGTACTGTAATACCCTCCATACCAATTCTCAGTCTTGAGATGCCAGCACTTTGTACACTGTGGGCCTATTACTGAGGTAAGGCATGCAGGAGTCTTCTAGAGAGGAGGCATACCAATCCAATTTAGCAGACTTTGGGAAGGGCGGTGGGGAGAGAACATGAAAGGTAGGAAATAAAATCTTGGCTGAGACCCCCACGTGTCTGATTTGACATGCAGGCAGCTAACAAACAATTAGACCCTCCATAAGTAGCACTCTGAACCAGACTCGCCTTGGGATTAGACCACAAATGAGCCGCACGTCACAGCTTATGTCTTCTAAATGGAAAGTGAGGGTATGTGTGTGTGTGTGTGTGGAGGCTGGCTGGCTGTTACATGTGTTTCGTACATGGTGAGAAAGCAACTTTAGTGTGTAGGTGTGTGTGGGCTGTGTGACATTTAGCAGATTGATGGTATTATCTGCCCCTGCCCTTAATACGGCCGCAACACCTCTTGAAGAAACTTGTATTTTCAGACCCGACTTATTCATATACGCTTCCCTTTTATGCGTGCGCAGAGTAATATACACAAACCTTCCCATACGCTGCGCACTCGTAATATGTGTATGTGTGTGTGTATGAGACCGCTCCCTTATTTGCTGTGTTATTGCCTGCTCGTCATTGTGTGTATGTTTGACATTTTGTAATTGCATCATTACGCGCTCAGTCCCCTCCTGCAAGAAGCGCGCGCATCGCAATTTGCAACACATGCTACAAGCAGTCAGACTCTTGCCCTTGATTACGGACCTGGGTGGAATGGCTTCCTCATCAGGCTGTCTTGATTCACCCCAGCATGTGGGAAGACACATGCTGCTGTGGGTGAATCTAATTGATTGGATGGCACCCAATTCCCAGGTCCAAGTCTCCTCAGGCAGCCAGAGAGTGAATCTGTCCAAGTGAAGGATGAGCCTAGGCGTTGGTTGCTCCCCTAATAGATTGGCATGGACTTCCTCCCATATGCCTCTGGTATCACCCTCAGACATCTCTGGGTTCAAGTTGGCCACACTACAGGGCGCAAAGCGACATTGCCTGGATCATTGCTGATTAGAGATTTGAGGGCTATCCGGCACCAAACTGTTCCTCCAGTTTTACAGTGATTATGTTTCCACTGACAGAAAAATTCTGACACTTCCCCTGTCTTAGCTTGATAGGTGATTAAAAGATGTCACGCTGGCAGTGGTGGAGTTTTTGGTATTTTACAAAGAGATTCTCGTTTCAACAGGTCAAGCTCCTCTCTCTCTCGGAGAACACAAGTGCCATTTCAAAGCTTATTGGATGAAAGTCTCATTTACCCCTGGCTGCCAAATATGACGTTGCCATGGAAACAGCTTCTACTGTTATCAATCATCGACTGTTTGACAGGTAAACTACCTTTTTTTTTTTTATTAAGTGATGGATTTTTGGGGGGGTTTCTGGTGCGTGCGCACGTGTGTGTGTGTGTGTGTGTGTGTGTGTGTGTGTGTCTTCACGTTTGGACATTTACAGCTGTGGAATGAGACAAAAATAGTGTCAGAGAGGATGATGGCTCAGGTTTATAGGAGCACTCTGCAGTATTGGCTTCCACTCACAATCCAGACACAATACTCTCAATCTTCGTCATCACTTTCGCCTGATGATGAGGCGTTTTACTTTTCTTTTCTTTTTTCACTTAGTCAAAAACATTTAAGTAACATAAAAAGAGAGCAAAGGTTTCCCCTTCTGCTGGGAATGATTTTC